CAATTCTTGTTTTTTAATACCCGTTTCTAAAATAAAAAGCCAATGACTAAAAGATACACTGACCCTTGTTCAGTAATTTCCTTCTTCTTTTCTTTTTTTATTTTATTGTTGACTGTGCAAAAGTGAGGGACAGTTGCAAGCTACTTCTTTATCAGCACTTTTTATTTTTTTATCATTCCTAACTAGGCACTAGGTCTGTAAATTATCCACCGGCCAGAAGGCCAATGAAAAAAAAAAAAGCTGTTGCTCTTGTTTTGTTCTGTTTTTTTAACATACAACAATGTTTTCTTGTACTGTCCTTGTTTTAAATAACTAGAGGAGAATAAATAATTTGCTGATGAGCAAGTTTAATAATAATAATTACCCAGCTAAAATGACTTATAAATATTCAGCATTCAGCATAGGTGAAACACAATTCCCTTGGCTGGTGTCCTGGTGAAAATCAAGCATTAGACAAAGGATAAATATTGCTCTGTTGTAAACTTTGTTTTACATGTGCACACACTTGCAGTCAGTGCTAGCTGCAAAGCTGCAAGTAACGATCATAAAAACTTGAATTGGCAGATTGAGGAATGTTTAGTTTTTTTTAAACGGACTTCAGCTCAAAAACCTTACAAGTGCATGCGACTATGTGAGCTTCTCTGTTGCAGTGGGAAAGTCCAAAATGAAAATTTATTTTGTTTTGTTTTTTCCCACAGTTATGGGTCATGTGATCAGTACAGGTCTTGAGCTGGTTTCCACAACAAGCAGCACCCGGCTGAATGAGCGTCTGGCCAGTGCCGTGMGGCGAACAGTGGAGCTCGCCAACAACCAGAACATCTCTCCTAGAGAGAAGCTCCACGTCAGAGCTATGGAGCTCTTTGCACGTGGGTAAGARCCAACGGAAGCCTGCTAAGCACTGTTAAAACAAAATATTGAAAAAGGAGATAAAAATGAGTATCAAAGGGTTTATAAAAAAGCAGAGTCTAAACCAGCAATGTAATCCATAATCCCAAGTAGCAAGCAGAGATTTAGAAAGTTATCTGTAGCACTTTATAGAGCACATCTCCTTTTAGAAGACAAAAAATATGCTGACATAGGATTTTTAAATCAGTAAACACATTTTTATCAAAGAGTAACTTACCCCAAAATTAACTTTTTTTAGCTGATAAACTGTCTAGAATGTGTCTAAAATGTTATATAGTACTGTTTCTGTGCTAATTTTGATGTTTTTGTGCATATTTTTTCAAATCTGTAATATTTGGTCGAAAAACGTCTTTTTGCTGCTCATATGGGTAGAGCAGTGGTACTGCAGGCTAATTAGCATATTGGTTAACGACTCTTCACGGTGACGTGTCTTCTCCACAGTTTCGTCACAGCGGCTGTGTTCTGGTATAAAAGCCTCTCTCTAAGACACGCCCCTGCAGCAGTCAGAGGGTGGAGCTGTTAGCCAGCTTAGCATGATCGTCTGTTGACCTTCAGCACACACACACACACACACACACACACACACACACACACACACA